CAGTACACAATACAGCCCAGGAAATGTTCCTCAATATGAACAGCAGACCATAGACATCAACAGGCAGCCCAGGGCTCACTAACAACATGCCAGCCAGGAGTTCCTGCCAAGTGGAAGGCAGTGAGCTGCCGAAGGCAACAGGCAGCAGCGTGTTCAGTGGCCAAACAGAATGTCCAGGGAAGAGCTCAGTGCAGAGTGGCAGCAGTAACTGCCGGTTGAGATGAGATTCATGATTGATAACCAGAGCAGAGTAGGATACCAGGTCTCAACGGAGGCAGAAAAGATGTGTGAGTGCAGATGAGATGTGAATGGAAGACTAACAGGTATATTCCTAGGACAGAGCCACAAAATCAAGGATGCAGGTGATTCAAGTGACCTGAAATTATATATACAACTAAATTTAGCTTGATCAGCATGTATCATACCCTTCTTAGGTACAGTCACTGTGGAAGCAGATTCAGATAAGGACAGTTTCTGTAGTAAGTCATGTGAAATGCTTATTATCTATCTTCTTTCTCATGGAATGAAAATTCCCTGAGTTCTGTGCCCTTATCTGTCTTATACGCTGCTATATCCCAGTGCCCATAACAGTAACCAGTACACTCTAAGTATTCAATATGTACTTGTGGAATGAGTGACTGTATTGATGGATAAAATCACAAAGCAATGATGGCAAATGTGACAGTATGCAATGAGAATAGCAAAAATGATATCTCTTGAGAAAAATAGAGGGTGTGAGGGAAGTTTTCAGAGGAGATAATGAGTAAATCAATTTAAAAAGAAACAATAGGTGTGGGCTTTAAAAATGGAATATTTCATGCAGCAGGAGAAATATTTACTAAGGTATATATTTAAGTGGTTAGTAGAGCAATCACCTAAGAGTTACTGATTGCAGAACTTGTAGTAATTACTTTGGTAACTCCTGAAATAGTGGAGCCCAGGGAAGTCCTTGGGTAACTGTGTATTTGGTGACAATTCACTGAATCCACTGATGGGATTGATTTGTTGGTTCAGAGCACTGCTTTTAATTCTTCCTGTTTCCTAGAGGAACCCAAGTTCAGAGAAAGAAAATGCCTTTTTACTGGCCCACTGAAAATTGGCTTTTGAGATTTGGAAAGAATGCCAAGCTGTCTAGCTTTCCAGTCCTGAGTCTCTGGATTTCAGCCAAATCCTCTTGTGCATCAAGTTGTGTGTGTGCTTTTCCGAATTCTATGTGCAATTATCCTGAACTGCCATTCCCAAAAGGATTTTCTCCTTTAAAGGCTTTGGGGACATTCATCATTGTCTCTCGTAAGACACCATGATTGATGTGGTCAGTCCTGCGGTGTGCAAGATTATTAGCATGGGCATTCCTCTTCACCTTTCTTGATGGCATACAGACTCATTTTTTCTGAAAAACGGGTTAATACAGATCAGATCCCACTCCGAGGTATAGCTATTACTCCCAACAAAAGAAGAAATTCAGCTTCAATTCGTTTCATTGCCAGGTTTATACTATTCTAGAGGAATTTGGTTTGATTTCTCTAAAAAAAGATACTGAACTGAAGAGAAGGCCTAAGATAACATTTGGGAATTAGCATGTTATTATGATTTCCATCTTATCTCCTGTCTTATTTATGTAAGTATGGACCTTACACTTTCCATTGCTATCTCTCAATTTCCACTTTGGTAAATTGGAAATAGACAAATCTCATGATCAATCATGGGATGATAAAACTGAAGCCAAGACAAGTTGCCAAATGGACCATAAAGATAATAATCATTTCTAAGATTTATTTTGATATTAATTGAAGTTATTCTTGGCAAAAAAAAAAAAGAAAGAAAGAAAGAAAGGGAAGAGATTCTGAATTTACTGCTTTAAAATTTGGGGTGGCACTGTGTTTACAAAAGCACCATGTCCCAAAACATAACCCAATCTGGGCACTGTTTGGGATAAGAGTTCGGGATTATGTATATCCCTGAGGTGATGGTCTGTAAGTCCTTCTGTTCCTTGTCTTCAAGATGCTGATGATGATTTCCTTATGCAGATGTTTTATTCATAGTCATAACATAGAATGTGATAAGAATGACTAGAATTTTCTCAGGTGTCACTGATTCATGGGTACAAAGGAGGTCCACCAACAATAATTCAAATTTCCCGACACCATGAACAAAAAACAATAATTAGTTGAATCCATATTCTCTATCTAAGGTGGTTTCTCCCTGATATTACTTGGAGGCCTCCTGGGTATTGCACATTTCATCACAAACAGCCCTGAGGTTCCTGGGTGGCTCAGTCAGTTAAGTGTCTGACATCAGCTCAGGTCATGATCTCACAGTTACTGAGTTTGAGTCCCAAGTCAGGTTCTGTGCTGACAGTGCAGAGCTTGGAGCCCACTTCAAATTCTGTGTCTCCCTCTCTCTCTGCCCCTCCCCTGCTCACACTCTGTGTGTGTGTCTCTCTCTCAAAAATAAATATTAAAAAAATAGAAACAAATAGCCCCATGACATTTTTCCACTCCCACCTTCTTCGATGCTCTTTAGATTTAGGATATTTCTCTGTAACGAGGATAATGTTATTTAAGAAGGTTAAGACCTGTCTATGTTTTTATGTGGTAAGATCAGATAAATTAGAAAATAATAATTAGGAGTGTATAATAGTACTGTAAACTTCTAAGATAACTGTTTTTTAAATGTTTATTTATTTCTGAGAGAAAGAGAGAGAGAGAGAGCAGAGGAGGGCAGAGAGAGAGAGGGAGACACACAGATTCTGAAGCAGGCTGTCAGCACAGAGCCCACATAGGGCTCTAACACATGAACCATGAGGTCATGACCTGCACTGAGGTCGGACACTTAACCAGTGGAGCCACCAAGGTGGCCCTGGGGGAACTTATTTTTACACTTAACTTTTTAATTCCTTCTTCTTTTGTTGTTGTTATTTTTAAATTTTATTTGTTTGTTTGTTTTTACCATGAAGGCCTATAAGACTTGCTCTCATGCACCCTAAGACATTTCTGTACTGGCCATTGCACCTGAAATAAGGTAATATGTCGTATGGAGAAGGGGAATTCTTCCGCTGACTCAAAGGAGGGCAGTTATGGCTTTGAACTGTGCCTGACACTTACATATTTTTCATTTAAGGAGAGGAGCTGAAAGGGGGACTGATCTTCCTGGTTGACACTCTCTGTCTCTCTGTCACCCTTCTCTTATTTTTACAGACATCCATGGAGAGAGACTCACAGGAGCACGCAGTGCAATGTAAGTCATGAGCTTTCCATTATCCAGACTGTTTCAAGGTCTCATAGGTTGTCCCTGTGACATGCAGTCCTTTGTGCCCTATCCCACTCTTTCCCTGTCACTTCCTCCAGTCTCCCTGTCTCCCTCTAGGGCTCAAGTAGCCTTCTGAAAGTCCCTAAGGTGGAAAAAAAAAACCATCCTCAGGGGCCAATGAGAGGACCTCATGTCCATATACTCTTATGAGGCTTACGGTCCAGGCAAGAGTCCAGGCTCACAAACTAGTTATGAAACCAAGAGTTGCGTCCGAGCCAAGATGGACCTCTCCTACCCCTCTCCCCACACTCAGCTGCAGGCTTCTAATCAGGCTCCAACTGTCGGAAGAATGCTCCTTGGGTCTCTAATTGGGAAATGAAAGTGCCACCCAGAAGTTAAAGGCAGCAGGAATCAACAGCTGTGAGGTATTTTGTGGCAAAGTCAGTGTGGATGTATCCTAAAGGGAAGGAGGGGGAAAGAGTTGGGAGGGAGGATGGCAGAGAAGTCTGCTCAGTTAATTTATCCCTCTTCTGATTGTCGTATTATTCTGATGGAAACCTGCATCAGACACCTGCATATTACTCTGATGGGCACCTTCTTTCTGAACCCACAGTCAAGTGAAAGGGAAACAAGAAGATGATTGGTACTCTTATCTTGCTTGTTTGAATTATTTGAATATGTTCCACACTATTTTCACTGTTTACAATTATTATTGCTAATAGATTTTAAATTGTCTTGCTAAATTATTATTGTTGGTTTAAGGGGAGGGGAAATGGCACCATGCCTCTTTCGGAGACCTGCCGAGAGCCTCCAGCAAGCACTGCACAAGCCTAATTCATACATTTGCAGGGAGGCTGAAGCCAAGGCCTCCTCAGGCCATTAACCTAAACTGGATTTCAGAGAGAGAATCACACTTGTACAATTCAAAAGGCAATCTTCGTGCTATTGCAAGTTTAATTTTTTAAAGCTTTGGCTTTTACGCGACACTCTACCTTCTCCTTTGTCTTCTCTCAGCTACAATTCTTCCTTTTCCCAGAACACATGTCTATTTATACCCCCATCTGGAATGAAGGTACGCTAGGAGAGACTGTAACCCAGATAATAAGTGCCGGTTGCAGATTATTCAATTATGACTTCTCTTATTTCTCTAAGGATTACTTAAGACTTTTTCTTGGCTGCTGTTTGGTTCTTTATGCAATCATTGCAGGCAAGAGGGTAAAATGGCAATGCATTAAATTTTTTTTAATAAAAATAGAAATGAAAGACAATCCCAATAGCTTCATTTCCAAAAGAGGGTAGAAGGGTGAACTTTTAATAGCCAAAGAAAGCTCAATAGTCAGGAAACGAATGGCTTGATGGTATCTGATGCCACAATGCAGATCCCCAGAAAATAATAGAGGAACTTCTGCATCCGCCAGGAGTGGAAAAAAGAAGGTATGCGTTCGTCTATGAGTTCCATTAAAAAACGTTTTGCCCTGAATTAGCAAGGCCCTTTCCCTATTCCTGATGGGAAGCATGGAGATGAAATGACACAGGGAAAATAAGTTACAACCACATTGAGAAAGTGCTGCAAAATTAGAAATGTGCACTTATTCATCACCTATTAGTCAGGTTCCTGTTGCGTGGTCGGGGGGAAATTAAATTCTTATTTTGCAACACTGATGCCTTTAGAAAAGTATGGTAAGAAATTAAGCAATGTTAAATTGTCCTTCTCTCCACTGTCACTCTCCTTTCCACACTTACTTACTTACCAGCCCTCCTTCTTCTTGCTTTGGCCTTGCTTTTATTTTTCCTGAGGTGTCTTTCTCTGCAGACCAGACATCTGCAAAGGCAATAAAGGAAATAAAGGGATCAACATTCCCACCACTGGGAGAGTCAGCTTATAGACCGCAAGGAAAAGTCAGGGTTGATAAAGATTTAATCAAGCTGAGAAAAACAGGCTGGGACCAGAATGCTAAATGAATAGCCCATCAACGCGAAGTCTTGCATCCAGGTCAAAAATCAATTATACCAGTTAAGGATAAAGAAAAATAACCTTCGTTAGCCGGAGGCGAAACAGATGCGGCAGTGTTAGTGGATGTTAAGTATAATATGCGTCATCAGGTATGATGCATCTGATGTAAGAGCAAATCGTGTCTGGGACGAGGGAGAGAGAAACTACATTTTGCTCTATGCCCATCAGTTTGTATCTAAAGAACTCGGTACACATTGTGAGCATCATGCTTTAAGGAGATTGGCAGAGAGGACGTCAGGTTTTACAAAAGGGAGACTACAATGGACACCCCAAGTAAGGTTTTTTTAAACATCATAATGAGAAGGCAGGGGAGAAACATCCAGAAACTTGAAAACTTTGAGTTTCATTAGTTCCTGGGCCGTCTGATCACCAAACTGGTACTACTCTAAAGAGTCGACTAAGGCCTGGGGTGGACAGTTCTAAATTTTGAAACGCTATCTTTTAAATTAGTAGAATCCTCACATTCAAAAAAAAAAAAAAATCTGTGACTCTAAGAATCAAGGTTGTGTCTTTCCCACCACCACCCTCCACCCCCACCTCTGTGGCCGTAAAGAAATGGATTCCTATCTTTGTACCTCAGGTTTTCCATCATGGAAGTGAGAAACAATGAGCCAATTTTCTTTGTTTTTGTATATTCCACATTGTGAAATATTTTGGAGTGAGCAAAATGGCAGGTATATGCCCAGAATTAATTAGCACCGGCCTCTGCACGGCCGTGTTTACCTCGGAAAACTGTTGACGGCTCTGAATCATTGCTCCACAAAGGTGGCTGGGAAGGGGGGGGGGGTAGTAATGAGAAGGTGCACTGCACTCTCCAGGCACATTGGCACTTTTCAATTATTTATGCAGTTTAATCCCATTGAAAAAGCACATTCTCCAAAGAACACCCCCAGGTCCTCTGCGTGCTGTTGCCGACAGAAAGTAATATGGGAAAAATGAGAGAGAGCACTGCCCTTAAGGGAGCTTGTCTGACCTTCCCAGAGACCCTGGGTATTAAAACAGGTACTTTGCTTAGCTAATAATAACTTTGCCCAAGACTTGTCATCTTCAAAGAACTTTAATTAATCCTCATAACACCCTGGTGGGCTGCAGAAGGTAAGTGTTATTATCTCCATTTCATCTGAGGCAAAATGCAAGCACAAACAGAGAAGGGAAATGGCTTGTTTGAGATAGCAAGTACCAAGTTAAATGGAGCAGTAAGAAGGATCTTAGGCCACATGCCTTCCCACTGCAAGGTCTCTTCAGTAACATATCTGGGGCAGAGCACATAGAGAAGATGTTAAGAGCTACAGAAGCAGTTGGCAGAAGGTGCCGCCTGACCAAAATGTCTTACCTGAGATGTGAAGAGTAGGAAAAGGGTAAAGAGTGGAAGCAGAAGAAAAAAGTGATCTGGGACAGAGAATTCCACCGAGAAGAAGAAGAAAAAGAAATAGAAAACAAAAGGAAAGAGTGAGATCTTTCAGGTCTGCTCTGAGCATAGAAAATTATTAATCTCTGTTGCAAGGAGATCGTAGGGCAAAATAAAATGCTACTATAACTTCCAAGACTTACTTGCTATATAAACAGGGATTGAGGAGGAGGTTGAGACACTGGTCTGTGCAGAGACGATGTCTCTGGATGTGGATGAGCATCCGCAGACCAGCGTGGATGGGTCTCTTACTTTTCCTTCTAAGTCACAAGTTTCTCCCATTATCCACCTATTACTGTTTGCCTCTGTCATTCCAGCCTGTGGAATTTATGATCCTCATAGCACGTAGCCTTTCAGACTCTTTAGCTTTCTCATAGAAGGGTAAAAGACTCACTCAAATGGCTATCAGCAGTGATCATCAGCCCACCTGATTCTGTAGTCCTAAGATTAAAGCTGGGCAAACCCCCAAGAGCATCTAGTCCACAATCCTCTTTTCCAGCTGAGGGTACAGAGGCCAGAAAGGAAGTAGGACCTGTTCAAGGTCACCTGAGTAGCAAATGAAAGCAAGGAGAACTGGAAACCAGTATTTTACTCTCATGAGAGGAAATTCTTCAGGTGGCTGTCGTTACAGTTGCATTAAGAAACTGCATAATGAAAATCTTTGAAGGAGCTATTAAGCACGCCAGAAATACAATGTCAGTCTGGTAGACTCTAAGGAAATGAGAGCCAGAGAGGTGTCTGAAACTTACTCCTTATCTGCAATTTAGTGGTGTAGCTTTAAATAGCTTCATTTGCCAATGCTAGGGCTTCCTTTCTGGATTGGTGAACCCACAGAGGAACAGATAAAGGGGTACACAAGGTCAGAGGTGTGCTCTGTAGGCTTTCAGGGTTATCTGATGGGTTTCCACAAGTGTTCCATTGCAAGTTGAGAGAAAGTGGAACTGTGGGTGTATTTCCTCAGCCATTTCTCTGAAAGAGAATAAACCATGTTTGGAGACTCTTTGGAGGAATCGTCATGTACCTTCTGTTTTTAAAACTAATATAGCACGGGGCGCCTGGGTGACTCAGTCGGTTAAGTGTCTGACTTTGGCCCAGGTCATGATCTCACTGTTCACGGGTTCGAGCCCCGTTATCAGGCTCTGTGCTGACAACTAGCTCAGAGCCTGGAGCCTGCTTCAGATTCTGTATCTCCCTCTCTTTCTGACCCTCCCCTGATCATACTGTCTCTCTTTCTCTCTGTCTGTCTCAAAAATAAATAAAACATTAAAAACAAAATAAAAATAATAGAGTAAAGAGGCAAAAGAAAGGAGAACCCAGTCATATACCAAAGAAGAAATGGGAAATGGGGCCACAAATGAGAAGTGGAATGTAGCCAGTAACACCCCCCCTCCCCAACACACACTAAGATAAACTGTCCCCAGGTCATTGGATATGATTTGGGTTTTGTGTTAGGAGGGGGAGCCTAAGTAAGGAGAGCAAGAGGAGAAATCATGGTAATTTCATATTTGGACATGTCTGAATTCTGGGGAAAAAGACCAGAAACAACTGTTATTTCTTATGCGTCTCAGAAACAGTGGTAACCGACACAGAGAAGGAAAGAATCAAGATTGCAGTCACCATGAGAAACTGAGGTAGAAAGAGCAGAATTTGACAAGATAATGTGTATGTGTTTTGTGCTTGAGTTCATTGTTTGTGTTAGGTTCAGGAGGGCTCCTGGGAGATGGGTTTTGTCTGAGTCGGCTCCTTGTTTGTCATTCACACGTTTGTTTTAGAATGAGGCGTCAGTCACTGCCTCTGCAAATGAGCACGCTAAGTGAAAGTCATCTCTCCACTAGCCATTGGATGAAACGACACCTTCAAAGGCAGGTCATGTCTCAGGGGCTGTAGGCATCAGAGTGCTACAGCATTAGCCTCCTGCCCTCAAGCCGAGTGGCCATGCTGAGTGTAAGATAGCCACCCTAATGTGATGCCAGAGGCTCCCAGATAACAAAGGAGACTCTTGTCCACGTCATTCTCCTCAGCACCCTTCCTCCCTTTCCACAATGCCTGCCCCCGATATTTAGTATGCTTCACCTACTAGAAGTGTCCAGTGAAACTTCCGGAAGGAAGATTCAGGTGACAGCTTTGATAATTCCCCAGATGTATGACCTTCCCTAAAGTCTAGACTCACTGTCTTATGAAGAAATACCTCTTTAGGAGGTTGTAGATTTCTAAGACAAAATATGAATTACCCCCTCCCCAAACTAACGTGCCTTTCTGCAAAGGAGATTATAGTGCATCATACGATTTCTTTCTGAAAGACCGTAGATTTGGACTGAATCAAGGAAAAGAACATTTCTCATAAGGCTTGGTTTCTTTTTTCTTATTTGCTATGGCAGGGTGCTTCATTTCAGATGGAATATCTATTCATTTTCTCTCATTGTTCGATGTGCTAGGAAAGCCATTTTCCAAAAGCCATCCCAGCCCCTGCTCACACTCCCACTCCCACTACTTGAAACGATTCTATTTATCCTTCAAATGCTAGCGCTCCTTAATGTCTCTAACAGACTTCATTACAACTGTTTTTGTCTTCCTATAATAATTTGTTGATGAAAGTGGCATTAATGTCAATTAAGTAAATGAATGAACTGATGAATGAACATAACCGGCATACCCTATTGTGAGGATAATGACTTGGAATCAGGAGAACCTGGGTTTAAATCCTAGCTTCCCCAGATGGTAGACCTCTGACCTAGAGTAAGCCCCTTACCTTTTGGAGCCTCATATCCCTCATCTGTGCAATGGGAATAGTAACACTAACCCTGCAGGATAGTTGAGAGATTTAGGTATCACACGTACAATCCACTCAGCATAGTGCACTTAAAAGGGTGCAATAAATGTTAGCTATTATTAGCTTAGTGTATTACAGTTAATTGTACATGCAATTTTATCTTATAGGCAATGAGGAGCCATTAAAGCTTATTAAGAAGGGAAGTGACATTAAAAAGGTGTTTCAGAATCCAAACCAGGGAATGAGTAAGGAAATGAAGAGCTGACAGGTGAGATACATAAGAAAGAAGCAAAATCACAACCATACCCTTGGTTATACCAGAAGCAGAGGTCACCCTGGTGAGCTGAGCTGGGAGCTGAGTGAAAACGCCCAGCGACAGACAGAAGCAGTTCTGGGATCTTTGCCATTTCTCTGTTAACTCTCCTGGACCATTGACTCCCTGTGGCTGTGTTATCTCCCTCCTCTTCTGCTTCTGCTCTCTGAGCACAGGGCTCAATATCATCCCAGCGCTTGAGCTGAAGCCCCGCTCCATCCCCTTTGTTCTAAAAGAGTAGCAAAATCCAGTAACATGTAACCCACACCTTAAATTTATAATGCTTCTCAACTTTGCTTCAATATTTGTGGCACAAGAGAAAACAAGGAACATAAAATTATAAGGCTGAGTTTTCTAGGCGTAAAATATACGATGCTGTTCTTTTTCAGTCCTATTCTTTTTATAGAGTGGAAGAGACAAGACATGAGAAGGGCAGAGTTGTTGAGGGATTGCAGTAGTGATGCTCCATTGTGAAGAGGAGGAGAATGGGAAGAAAAAGCAGAGATTTAAAAAGAAGGATTAGGATTGTAATAGCGTTGTATGGTGCCAGGTGGTAGCTACACTTGTGGGGACATAGGATAAAGTATAGAGGTGTCAAATCATTGTGTTGGAGACCTGAAACTAATGTATCATGGTGTGTCGTCTATACTTCAATAAGAAATAAGAATAAAGTAAAGAGGTTAGAGTTAGACATTATGGAAAATGCCCTGAATTTCAAGATGGACAGCTACACAGAACTCTCAGAATCTTCTTCCCTAATATGTTATTGAAGAGGAGAAAGAGCCTCATACGTCAGCAACTCCGGGTCACCAGGCTCCATTGTGCTAGAACATTCTGGAGGGCCCTTAGGAGCTCTGATCTCCTGTGCCTTTGGATGTGAACCTAAGAATAGAAGCTGCACTTCCAGTGGGAAAGGAAAGACTGTCTTATACTCCTAATCCCAGTTTGAGCTCCAGGAATCCAGAGAGAGATGAGGACTCACAACGCTTTCATCACTGATGATACTCTGATGTTGCTTCAGTAAAACCAGCCCCCCCGCGCCGCCCCCCCCCCAAGACTTCATCACTCGGCTTCCAAAATCTGTGTCCTTAGTTGGCAACAGGATGTAGATCACAGGGAGCTGAAGTAACCCAATAACACAGCCATCTTAACCATTTTAGAAGAGTGAAAACCATTTAACCCCCAATGTAATGGCTTCAGCGTCTGTCTGCGAAAGAAATAAATTGGTTTTAACTTCCGCGCCTGAGCTGCGGAGAGCAATCAGAAAGCAAAATGGAAAGGAAAAATTGTAGAGCATCCCTCGGATCTACCTTTTAGCAGTTTGTGACTCCAGACACAGACACTGGCACGGGGTACACCTAATCACATTTAGACACGGCCCTGTGGTAAATACAGGGAAGAAGAAAGATATTGTAGGACTATAATCTTCTGGAAGACGGAAGCTGGGAAGAAAAAATCCAGTGAAGGATTATGAAGTTAGCTGACCTGCTGTTTAACACAGAAGAGTCACAGAGGTGAGCGTGGCCTGAGCAAGCCAGCATGTACCTGGTATTAACAGGGTCTTAGTGACAAAGTCTGTAGGGCTGGAAGTAACCCGCAGTGCCGCACGCCCGTGCTCAACAGGGGCTGGAGGTAGCTCAGCAAAGAGCCTTGGGCCGAATCTGCCTTTCGTCGCCACCTGCAAATGATTACAAAGAAGTCACTTGAAAGAAGACTGTCAGTGCCTGCCATACTCCTTGTCTCCACGATGCCCCTTTCTACACTATTAAAGCCACTTGATCTCCATATGCAGGCTACAGTGTCATCCTGACATCTGGGACCAATTCTGTCCTTAGTCAGTGAGAGAAAGAAGAGCACTGGTTAGGTGCTCAGTACTCAACATCAAGGTGGCTTGACTGCTGTTTCACTGTGACCTTGGACTGTAATTCTAGAAGTTTGATCCTGATATAGTTCTCAAATCAGCTGCTCTTTGATTACCTATGTAACATAATATTATCACATGAGCTGTGTGTATGTGTGTTGTAGTCTAGTTCTCATATTAGCTATACTTATGATTATATATATAACATAATTATATAACACTGTGTACTGTCTGTTATTATGTATAATTATATATTCTATATTAGATAATAATGCAGTCTATCAATTCTATATTAGACATATATTTCACACACATATATTGTAAGTGATATCTATTTTTCTTCTGCTTTTATTGATATATAATTAATTGACATACAGCACTGTGTAAGTGCAGCATAATGACTTTACTTATACATATTGTGAAATGATTGCCACCATACATTTAGTAAACACACATATCTGATAGTAAAAAGTAAAGAAAAACATGTTTTTTCTTGTGATGAGAACTTTTAGGATCTACTCTCTTTACAGCTTTCAGACATATAGCAATCATCAAGTCATACATGACATCCTTAGTACTTATTTATCCTATAAGAGGAAATTTTTATCTTTTGGCCACCTTCATCCCGTTCCTAGGTATGTGATATTAATATGGATACAGACAGTATCAAAATATTTCAGAATAGTGATAGTGATTTACATTTTAGGGCTCAAATCACATTATGTTTGTCGTTTAACTTATTAATGACCCATAATACATAAATATTTATAAAATTATTTTGTAAGTAGATTTTGGGAAATTGTTGACAGTGAACTTTTCTTTAAATTTCAGTATAATTTACCTACAAGGATGCGTGAGTGGCTCAGTAGGTAAAACAACTGACTCTTGATTGGCTTAGGTCATGATTTCAAAGTTGTGAGATAGAGCCCCATGTGGGGCTCCATACTGGGCAAGGAGCCTGCTTAAGATCCTCCCTCTTTCGGGGCGCCTGGGTGGCTCAGTCGGTTAAGCGTCCAACTTCGGCTCAGGTCATGATCTCACAGTTCGTGGGTTCGAGCCCCGCATCGGGCTTTGTGCTGACAGCTAGCTCAGAGCCTGGAGCCTGCTTCAGATTCTGTATCTCCCTCTCTCTCTGACCCTCCCCTGCTCACACTGTCTCTCTCTCTCTCTCAAAAATAAATAAAACATTAAAATTTTTTTTAAAAAAAAGATTCTCTCCCTCCTTCCTCCTGCACCTACCCCATTCACACTCTTTCTCTCTCTCTAAAANAAAAAAAAAAAAAAAAAAAAAAACCACACACCCCAAAACCATGCAATGTTATATAGTTTTAAATGTACAAAAAGTGATTCAACATTTCCATACAACACCCAGTGCCCATTACGACAAGTGCATTCCTTAATCCCCATCACCTATTTCACCTGTCCCCCCAACCCAGCTCCCTTCTGGTAACCACTGATTTGTTCTCAATAGCTAAGAGTCTGTTTCTTGGCTTCTCTCTCTCTTTTTACTTTGCTCACTTGCTTTGTTTCTGAAATTCCACATATGAATAAAATCATATGGTATTTGTCTTTTTCTGACTAACTTATTTCACTTAGCATTACACTCTCTAGCTCTATCCATGCTGTTGCAAATGGCCAGATTTCACTCTTTTCATGACTAAATAAGATTCTATTGTGTATGTATAGATATACCACATCTTTATTCATTCCTCAATTGATGGACACTTGGGCTGCTTCCATATCTTGGCTATTGTAAATAATGCTGCTATAAACATAGGGGTGCATGTATCCCATTGAATTAAGGTTTTTGTATTCTTTGGATAAATTTCCAGTAGTGTGATTGTTGGATCATAGCATAGGTCTTTTTTAACTCTGAGGAAACTCCATCCTGTTTTCCAGAGTGGCTGCACAGCTTGCATTCTCACCAACAGTGCATGAGGTTCCTTTCACCCCCATATTCTCACCAACATTTATAATTTCTTATCTTTTGATACTAACCATTCTGACAGGTGTGAGGTGACCTCTCACTGTGGTTTTGATATGCCTTTCCCTTATGATTAGCAATGTTGAGGATCTTTTCATGTATCTGTTGGCCATCTGTATGTCTTTGGAGAAATGTATATTCAGATTTTCTGCCTATTTTATTAAGTGGATTGTTTTCCTTTACTATTGAGATGTATGAGTTCTTTATATATTTTGGATATTAACCTCTTATTGGATATGTGATTTGAAAATACATTCTCTCATTCAGTAGGTTGCCTTTTCCTTTGCTGTGCAGAAGCTTTCTGGTTTGATGTAGCTCCATTTGCTTATTTTCGCTTTTGTTGCCTTTGCTTTGGGAGTCAGATCCATAAGCGCATCAGCAAGATTGAGGTCAAAGAGCTTACCGCCTGAGTTTTATGGTTTTATTTCTTACATTCAAGTCTTTAATCTATTCTGAGTTAATTTTTGTGTGTGGTGTAAGACAGTGATCTAGTTTTATTCTTTTGCATGTGGCTGTCCAGTTTTCCCAGCACCATTTATTAAGGGGACTGCCCTATCCCCATTGTATATTCTTGTCTTTTTGTTATAAATTAGTTGACTATATATGAATACCTTTATTTCTGGACTTTTTATTCTGTTCTTTTGACCTATGTGTCTTTTTTTTTTTTTTAATGCTGAAATCATACTGTTCTGATTACTGTAGCTTTTAATATAGTTTGAAATAAGGAACCATGATATTTCTAGGTTTGTTCTTCTTTGTCAGGATTTCTTTGGCTATTTGGGGTCTTTGGTACTTTAATACAATAGTAAAACTGTTTATTCTATTTCCCTTGTGATTTGATGAACTCTGTTAGTGTTATGCTTAGATTTCTTTCTTATTATCTCTTGTGAATCTACTACAGGGTTTTACTTTGTGGTTACCATGAGTCTCACATATATCATCCTATATATAAAACAGTCCACATTAAGTTGATAACGACTTGTGTTTAAACATATTAAAACTCTGTATTTTTAGCCCATCCTTCCATGCTTTATGTTTTTAATGTCACATTTGACATCTTTTTATTTTGTTTATACTTTGGTTATTATGGTTACGGTTATTTATACTACTTTTGGCTTTTAACTTTCATAGTGGCTTTATAAGGATAAACCATACCTATTCTATATACTTACCTTTACCAGTGAGATTTATAGTTTCATATCTTTTGTTACTCACTAATGCCCTTTCTTTTCAGCTTAAAGAAGTTCCTTTACCTTTTTTAGCTTATGCTTATCTGGAAAACTATTTCTCCTTCAATTCTGAATGATACCTTGCCAGGTAAAATATTTCTTTGTTGAAAGTTTTTTTTTTTTTTCTTTCTTTCAGCACTTTTAATATATTATGCCTCTCCTTTCTGGTCTAGAAAGCTCTTGCTGAAAAATCTGCTGATAGTCTTATGGATCTTCCCTTGTACATAGCAAGTTGTTTTTTTTTTTCTTGCTTCTTTTAAGATTCTGTATCTTTAATTTTAACATTTTAATTACAATAAGTCTTGCTATAGCTCTTTTTGGACTCATTTTATTTAGAACTCTCTGGACTTCCTGGATGTGCTTGTCTGTTTCAGCCATTATTTTTTCAGATAAATTTCCTGCACGTTTCTCTGTCTCTTTCCCTTCTGGGATCCCTAACAATGCAAATGCTATTCTGGTAGATGTCATCACACAGCTCCTTCAAGCTATCACCACTTTAAAAAATATTTTATCTTCAGGGCTCCTGGGTGGCTCAGTCGATTCAATTAAGTGTCTGACTCTTGATTTCAGCTCAGGTCATGATCTCACAGTTTGTGAGTTTGAGCCCTGCATCGGGATCTGCGCTGAGAGCTCGGAGCCTGCTTGGGACTCTTTCTCCCTCTCTCTGCCCTTTCCCCACTCATGCTCTCCCTCTCAAAATAAGTAAATAAACTTAAAAAACTTTTTTTTTTGTTTTCTTTTTGCTTCTCTGTTTGGGCAAGTGTCACCATGTATTCTTCAAAATCACTGTTCATTTCTTCTGCTTTATATCTAGTCTGCTGCTGAACTTGTCTTTATTTTTTAGTTTGGTTGTATTCTTCTGCTCTGTGGCTTCTGTTTGGTACTTTGTTATATTTTCTATCTCTTTCCTGAGTGTTCACCCATTCTTTTTCCAAGTTCAGTGAGCATCTTTATGACCATTACTTGGACCAGCTGAATTATTCATTTTCCTTTTACCAAGATGTTTTCCTCCTGAGATTTTATGTTGTCCTTTCGGATGTATTCCTCTGTTTCCTGATGTTGCTTGATTCTGTGTTTCTTTCTATATATTAGGTGAAAGAGCAACCTCTCTCAGTCTTGAAGGAGTGGTTGGTCTTGTGTAGATGAAGCCTATCTTTCAACCTTGCTCTAGTTCTTGCTTATCTCTTGAACCTCTATGATTTTCTAAGCAGCTGACCTTTTAAAAAAATGGTTTATAATGTTTATTTATTTTTGAGCAAGAGAAAGAGCATGAGTAGGAGAAGAGCAGAGAGAGAGGGAGACATACAATCCAAAGCAGGCTTCAGGCTCTGAGCTGTCAGCACAGAGGTGGACACGAGGCTCAAACCCATGAACCGTGAGATCATGACCTAAGCTGTAGTTGGATGCTTAACCAACTGAGCCACACAGGTGCCCCAGAAGTCTGACTTATCTTAATTGAGCCCAGCTATTTGAGAGCAGGCCAAGACCTGTCAGTGTTCTAAAGAGAAGGATCTTAGTTAGCATCTTGTTTTAAGCTGATTGGAAGCCTGATCTTTTAAGCAGCAGCTTTTAAAGTATGCAAGTATATATAGTCTTGTGGGATT